CGTGAGCACGAGGGGCCAGTACCTCCTCGGACTTAAGCTGTAGCAACCTAGCCTCCTGCTTGAGCTTCTCCTTCTCACGCTCCAGCTCAGCAATGGCCTCCCGCAGGCGCTCAGCATCATGGTCACTCTGTTGCCGCTGGATCTCCAGCGTTTGCACCAGCGTCACCTTCTCCTGCGTGGCGAGCTCCGTGCGATGCAGCTTCTCCCCAATGTCCTCCGCCTGCTTCCGGAAGCGCTGGGCATCCTCCTCTGCACGGGCCTGTGCCCGGCTCATCTCTGCCACACGCAGCTTCAGGCGTTCGGCCTCGGCGCTCATCTCCAGCTGCCGCTGCCGCTCCGCCTCCAGGGTACGCTGGAAGCCCTGTGTCTCCTGTGCCAGCTGCTGCGCCATCTGCTCCTTGTCCTCCTGCAGCCGCCGGGCCTGCTCCTGCGCGAGCTCCTTCTGCTGCTGCAGCAGCTCTGCCTCGGCCTTGAGTCGCGTGGCCTCCTGCACTGCCTGCATCTTCTCCTTGAGCATCTTCTCAGCCAGCGCCCGCTGCTGCGCCAGGTCCTCCTCCGCCAGCTGCCGCAGCCGCGCTGCCTCCTGGGCGGCCACACTCAGCCGCGCTGCCTCCTCTGCCACCTGTTTCATCTTCTCGGCCTCCTCCTCCAGGAAGCGCTGTGTGTTGTCCTTGTCGCGCAGGATGAGCGCACGGTTTTCCGCCTCGATGCGCGCTTTGAGTTTGCCCAGCTCCTCCATCTGCACCCGCACAGAGAAGAGCTCCTCCTCCACCTGGCTGCGCTGGCGGGCGGCCTCCGTCACCTCCGCCTTCAGCCGCTGCAGCTCCTCGTCCAAGATGCCTTTCTGGTGGTCCGTCTCCTCCAGCTGCAGCTTCAGAGCCATCAGCTCCTGCTCCACCTGCGCCTTCTGCCGCAGTGTCTGCTCGGCAAACTTCTTGTGCTTCTCCATCTCCGCGTCCGCTGCCTGCTTCTGCCGCAGGGCCGCCTGTTCTGCCTGCGCCCGCCGCTTGGCCTCCTGCTCGGCTTCCTTGCGCAGCTTCTCTGCAGCAGCCTGTGCCTGCGCCCGGGCCTGCGCCTNAGCCGCTCCAGCACGCTCTGCTCCTGCTGCAGGGTCTGCTGCAGCTCCTGCTCCTTCTGCTGCACTGCAAACACGTGCGCCTTCTCCTCCGCCTGCAGCCGCTTCTGCGCGGCATCCTGGGCCAGCTGCAGCTGCCGCGCTGACTCCTGCTCCGCCCGCTCACGCAGGCGCCGAGCCTCCTCCACCTTGGCCTTGAGCCGCTCCACCTCCTCCAGTGCCACTCTGCGCTGCCGCGCCGCCTCCTCCTCGGCCGCCAGGCTTTTCTGCACACGCTCTTCCGCCTCCCGCCGCCGCTGCTCCTCCTCCGCCGCCAGCTGCCGCTGCCGAGCGGCCTCCAGTTCCGCCTGCTCCTTGCTGCGCAGCGTGTCCTCCGCGTTGCTGCGGATGCGCACCAGCTCCAGCTCCAGCTCCGCCTTGCCTGCGGTCGCCCGCTCAAAGCTCGCCTTCAGGGCCAGGATCTCCTCCTCCACCTGCCGCCGCTGCCGCAGCGTGTCCTCCACCAGCCCCTTCTGCCTCTCCAGCTCGCTCTCCGACGCCTTGCGCAGCTGCGCCAGCCGCTCCTCAATGTCGGCCTTGTGCTGGGCCGCCTGCTCCTCCAGCCGCCGCCGGTGGAAGGCCTCGTCTTCAGCCAGCCGCCGCAGGCGCTCGTTTTCCGCTTCCTTCTCCTTCAGCGCGATCTCGGCCTCTGTCTTGAGCCGCGTCGCCTCGCCGATGGTCGCCAGCTTCTCGGCAAGCACCCGCTCCGCCTCCGCCCGCTGCCGCGCGGCGTCCTCCTCCGCGAGTTGCCGCT